TCTCTCTTCTAGGTTAAAGAACTGCCTACTCTTAAGGATATGGACTTCCTCAACAAGAACCAGAAGGTGTATATTGGTGAAGAAGAGAAGAAAGTATTTCTGGAGAAGCTGAAGCGTGATGTGGAGGTAAGGATTGGGGTGCTTCCAAGTGCCTTACTTAGTAAAAGAAGAAGAAATGCCTATTGTTTTTGTCTTCCATTCATAGTACAAGGTTCTCTGAATGGAAGGTTGCAGATGAAATAGGAAAAATCCCTAGTGGTGGGGCAGTGAGTGGGATGGGGCACGAATTCGTGGTGGTGTTCCGTGACCTCACTTTGTACGCTCCTTTCCCAGGGGGGCCCAGAAATCCAAGGAAGGACACACGTGGGTGGTAGCTGGAGCTGGGTGGGAAATCTGGGGTTTCTGATCGGTTCGTGGGTCTCAGTTTCTAGTGCAGCTGAAGATCATGGACTACAGCCTTCTGCTGGGCATCCACGACATCATCCGGGGCTCTGAGCCAGAGGAGGAGGGGCCTGCACGGGAGGACGAGTCAGAGTGGGATGGAGACTGTAACCTGGCTGGACCTCCTGCTCTGGTGGGCTCCTATGGCACCTCCCCCGAGGGCATTGGAGGCTACATCCATTCCCACCGGCCCCTGGGCCCAGGAGAGTTTGAGTCCTTCATCGATGTCTATGCCATCCGGAGTGCTGAGGGTGAGAGAGACCCTGGAAATGTTAAGGGGGTGGTGGGAGTCCTTGGGGGACAGAGACCAGGGTGGTGGATGGAGAAGCTGATTAGCTTTTCACAACAAAACTGGCTCCAGGGGGAAAGGAATTGGACTGTCTGTGCCCTGTCTTCATTGCTTCTCTCTCCCCAGGCCCCCCAGAAGGAGGTGTATTTCATAGGTCTCATTGACCCCTGTCTTTATTGCTTCTCTCTCCCCAGGGGCCCCCCAGAAGGAGGTGTATTTCATGGGTCTCATTGACATTCTAACACAGTATGATGCCAAGAAGAAAGCGGCTCATGCAGCCAAAACTGTCAAGCATGGGGTGAGAGTTCCCCTAAGCCTTTCCTTTCTTGGCCTGACTCTGGAAAGAGAGCCTCTGGTGTCAGAGCAGCAGCTGAGGGAGGACGGAAGTGGGGAAGGTGGCCGGCACCTCACATATTGTTCTTTATTTCTTCTCACAGGCGGGGGCAGAGATCTCGACTGTCCATCCTGAGCAGTATGCTAAGCGATTCCTGGATTTTATTGCCAACATCTTTGCCTAAGAGCCTGCCTGACTCCATGGTGATTGCTGCTTTATGTTGAAGGTGGTGGGTTCTGAGAGTCTTGGGGGACTGAATTTGGCTACTACTCCTTCTCTTCTTTGCTAAATTCAGGCTGCAGGCTCCTTCCATCCACATCATTCCATCTTGGCGGATAGGCTTTTCCTGCCCGAGAAGCACACTCTCCTTTCTCCCTTACCTGCTTTCCTGCCCGCTCTCCCTGCTCCCATAAGTCCTCTTGCTTCATTAGAGTGTTGTTGTGACTCTCCTAAGTGCCTTGATCTTTGAAAAGTATCTTGTTTCTATGAAATAGGAGGAGCTGGGGGTAGGGGTTGTTTGCCATCCTCGGGACCTGACTGGACAGTGGACGTGACTCAAGCAACTACCCCAGACGCACTTTGCTGTGTGGAAGAAATTGAATGTCTGGATTTTGCTGATACCTTTATAGGGCTCTTTGTGGCATGCTTCCTTCCTGTAGGCCCCAGAATGGAGGGCTTTCAGGAAACTTCAGATGTGGGTGCAGGCATTCACACATGGACAACCTGGCCTGAAGGTGAGGTGGGCAGTGGTCAGCAGGCTGGCACCTCACAGAGGCAGGACCTAAGTGGACTTTTGTGACTATACAGAGAATGGAGAAGGTCCCTGTCATCACTGACTGCTGCCCATTCTCTTCCTCCACCCCACCCCACTTTGACCTGTACCCATGTACGTGGCCAGCAGTGCCCAAGCCTAGGGGCAGGTGTGGGGCCTCTGCTGCTGCACCTCCAGGAACCTTGCACCTTCTCTGGGGGTGGAGCCTTCGGAGGGGGGGCATCGGAGGCTGGGCGGACAGGTCACAGTGCAAGGTTCATTCCCTATTTAAGTTTTCCTTCTTCCTGTCCAGTTACTCCCAAGGTCCCTTTCTAGCTCCATGTGGGAATTTCCATAATTTCAAGAGGTTAAACCTCTTGAGTATGGGAGCATCCCCAGACCCTGGACATAGGTACCTAGCACACTTTGTCCCCTCTTCTCAAACACTCTCTCTAGTTGGATTTGTTATTCTGTTCCCTTCTGCCCCATCTTTCACTGCTAATGTGTCTCCCAGGGGACAGATGGCCTCTTTGTCATCTTCACTTCCCACCCCCAGAGAGGAGTCAGAGCCATAACTCAATCACCCAGTCCCTTCCAAAGATAGCTGAGTTAATGCGTGATATCCTCAGAATGGAGAGGAGCTTCGGCATGGCAGCTCGTGCCTGTACAACCCAGCACTCAGGAGGCTGTGGCAGAGTTAGTGAGAGTTCAAGGCTAGCGTGGGCAGCCTGGGCTACAGAGTGAGACATGGTCTCAGGAAAACTCAAAAAAAAATATATATGGGTTTGAGCACTGGAGATTATAACTCAGTCGGTAGAGTGCTTGCCTAGCATGTACAAAGCTCTGGGTTCCATCCCCAGCCTCGTAAACCAGGTGTGGTGGTGCACACCTATAATCTTAGCACTGGGAGGTGAAGGCAAGGGGGATCAGGTATTCAAGGTCATCCTCAATAGCATAGCACGGCTGAGGCCAGCCAAGGATACAGGAGACTGTCTTGGGGAAAAAAGATGATTAGATTGTCTTTGTCTCTGCCCAGAGCCTTCGGGAACCAAGACAGACCTCCACACTCTGGGGGTGGGGGTAGGGGTGGACAGTGCTGTGTAGCTGGCCTGACCAGTCAGTCTCATAAGCCATGAAGGTCCTCAGGGAGAATCTCCCCTTTCTCCTTTACACCAAAGTAGGCAGCAAAAGGAATGCTCAGTCGGGTGGGAGGGACCTACCTGCTGGACCTCTTCCAGCCCACAGTCACCCTTTCCCCTGTCGATGCAATAAAGCCCTGTGACACCAGCAGCCGTTCTTTAGAACTGGATTCTCTAACCTTGAGGTTGTGTATTATGGGCAGTGTGGTCATCTTCATTTATTGCTTGTTTTCCATCATTTTTATTTTATTAATAAAATATCTATTTACTCCCAATATCACAATAAAATAAATTATTCAATCCTAATCATTCACAGATTTTTTTTTCCCCTTTGAAAACGCTGAGGAATGGCCATGGGTTGGTTGGCACACGTCTTTAATCCCAGCACTCAGGAGGCAGAAGGCAGGTGGATCTCTGTGAGTTCGAGGCCAGCCTGGTCTACAAGAGGACAGGCCCCAAAGCTACAGAGAAACCTTGTCTTGAAAAAAAAAAAAAAAAAAAAACCCAAAAACAAACAAAAAAACCCAAAAAATAAAGTATTGGTCTTTAAGGTCTTATTGGGCTCCTGGGTTTGTGGGAGGTTTCTAAGTGGTTGTGGAGGAGTGGAGACACGGGAGTGAGACACATTCCTCGACTTCGTGGTGATTGAGAAGGAATGGTTTCTAGGATGGAGATGGTGCGGCTCTCTTCCCCAGGGCTCTGATTACTCCACCTCCTAACTTCGTACCAGCTGTTTGGGAAGGAATTCTCTGCTCACCCAGGCTTCCTGGGAAAGCTGTGTACTTAGAGGGCAGGGAGAGTACGGCAGGGTCCTGGGAAAGTGAAGGAGTGACCAGTGCTCTAGTTCAGGGGGGAGGGGATGGAAGGGTGGATGACGTGGTTGTTGCTGGTCTGGGAGATTCAGTACGTCTAGGCTGAGGTCTTTTGGCTGGTGGAAAAACCTGGCTTGATGTGGCCCCAGGGAAGCGAGTTGCAGGAGGCGGAGACTGTTCTGCTGGGAAGCGGAGCTGAGCAGAGGATTTTTTCTTTGGGAATTTTTAACTCTATTTGAGCCACGTACTTGACACCAACACCACCCCAAGCCATTTTTTTTTAAATTAAGAAACTGTTCACTTCGCATTTTGCACCAACCTGTGTCCCTATTTGTGGAAAACTAGTCACCAGTCCCCATCTGGCAACAGGCTGTGGGGGGTCACCGGAGGTAACGCTCTAGAAGGAGGCAGAGTTGAGGGAGGGATGGAAATAGTTTAGTCACAGGGTTTATTGTGTAGTACCAATGTTTTCTTTTTACTAAAACTCTTCCCATCCAACATCTTTCCTCTAAAGCGCTAACAGATCGCCCTCCCCTCCAAATCCATACACCCGCCGGCACCGCTCCAGTTCCCAGAGGTGCCACGCAGCTGACTGGGAAAGGAAAGGGGAGAGGGCTCCTCCGGGAGGGGGGGACGCCAAAAGAGTGGCGTTTCTCAGGGATTTAACCTCCTACCCTCGGTTACATGACGCCACCCCTCCCTCCGAAGACTGGATCTGCGCCTCCATTTTTGTTCTGGGGCAGAGAGGCAGGGGCTCCCGGGCAGGAGGGGTCAAAGGAAACGGTAACTATCACCCGCCAAGGGGAGAGGGTGCTATCCTCCCTCCTCTCGCTCAGCCTGCACCCCGGCATCCCCTTCCACCCTCTCGGGGTCTTCCCCCGCCCCTTGTTGCTAAGGCCCGGACCGTCATCCCAGCAACAGCCTCAGTCATGTGACCCGCAATGGCGGCGCTGACGGGAGGTAGGTGAGCCCGGCGCCCCCACACCCACCGCGTGCCCCCCAAGCCCGGCCCGCAGCCGCACAAGCCCCCCGCTTCCCTCCGCCCCCTCCTCCGCCTTCGACCCCCGGGCGCGCGCGGCGCCGGGAGCGGGCGGCGCCGGGGCTGGGCCCATCGTCCTGCCGGCACCTCCAGCCCCGGCCTCCATTCGGGGGTTCGGAGGGCCGCAGTCGGGTGGACACACGCCCTCACCCAGCGCGGGGACTCGGGGCTTCCTCGAGTAGGAATGCGGGAGTCGGTTTCGGGTTGGATGGGTCTGGGGGCAGGCCTGGGGGAGAAGGGCGGGGGTGCCTCGGTGGACACCCCCAGGGGACCCTTGCCCTTCCTCGCCGTCCCTGCTGGTGGCCGCTGTCTGGCGGGAGAGACGGGTCTCGTGTCCGGCCTGGTTTGCCCCAGAGGAATGCTAGACCAGACTGAACTGTGGCCCCGCCTCCCTGTGCTGTGCCAGCAGGGTTTTTGGAGCTAGGACACCTAGATCCTGGGTCCTCTCTGCTGGGGTGGGGGCATTTCATCGTGCTCAGACCATGCGGGCTGGGATTCTAGGGTTTCCTCTTAAGGGCCCTAGGATGGAGGCACAAACGGACAGCGGCTTCTTCTTTGGATGAGTCAAGGAATTGAGGTCACGTTAATGGCCCCTCTTCCTAATTGAGCTGCACTTTGTGTTGTGGGAACAGCCCCGGAGCTGAATGTGACAGGACTTGGGGAAGCGTGGGGTCCCTCTAGCTGAGCTCCTGCTTGAGACCCGCCCCTCCTAAATGCAGACCCAGGAGCTGACAACAGCACTGGGTTTAAAGGTGACAGTGAGAACTTGTTATTGCAGGGACCGCTGTCACTTTGCTGGCATCGCTAACAGACTTCGGCTCTCAAGGAAAGGTCCCCATCAACAACAGGGACTTGAATTGAGAATGCAGAGTAAAGACATGAGCCGAGGAGCGTAGGAAATATTTCTGTCATTGTAATCTGAGGGAGGAGGCAACTACGACCTTCACCCCGAGGGCTATTATCTGCACCTAGACTATGTCTCTCTCTGCACTGGGGGAAAAGGGAGTTAACCTGCTGAAGTACCCTGAGTGATTCTGCATGGCCTTCTGCAGGGAGGCGAGGACACAGAAGTGTTTTGTTTCTGGGTTGACTGAGGAAATACTATCATTAAGTCTTTACCTTCCTGGTCCCCAGCTCTGGTCAGCTGAAAGTGGAAGTGGAGAGACTTCTGGCACCATCTTCCATGGTCCTTTCAGGTACCTGCACCCCAAGAGAACCTCAGTTCGTGTTCCTCCCATGTTCCAAGGGATCCCATGCCTTGGAGCCCTACTCCAGGTTCTTGCCTGTTTCAAGGGCTCCTGAGTGGGAGCCTGTGGGGGTCAGAGACATAGTTTCTTCCTTCCTTTTCTTTCTCATCCTCTAGGCCACACAATCTCCAAGTAGCAGGGAAAAGGAGTGTGCCTGCATGCCAATTCTAAGCTCTTCCGGATCAAAGTGAGCAGAAAGGGAGGGTGGGAAGTCTCTGTCCCTGTTTGAAGAGCCGAGGGGGAAAGGGAAGGGACAGGTTGTTGTGGGGAAGGGGAGAAATGAAAGGAGCAAGCAAGGTTGGTACTTGGCTTAGATAATGCTGACAATGGAAAGGCTTGCCCCCCAGCAGGTGCTGGGACTATGGGAGAGTAGGGGAGGTAGAAAACCAGTTTGCAGGAGGTGTTGGGGGTTGCCTTTGAGGAAAGCAGGAGGTAATGCGGGGGTTTGGGAGGAGCCTGAAGTAGGAGGCACTTATATGTGTCCGATGGGGACTCCCCACTCTGAGTCCCTTTCACCCTGGGGGCAGTGTCGTTCGTCCTGTCCAGAATGGCAGCCTGTGGAGGCACCTGCAAGAACAAAGTGACTGTCTCCAAGCCTGTGTGGGACTTCCTGAGCAAGGAGACCCCAGCCCGGCTGGCCCGGCTTCGGGAGGAGCACCGAGTGTCCATCCTCATAGATGGCGAGACGTCTGACATCTACGTGCTCCAGCTTTCCCCACAGGGTCCTCCCCCAGCCCCTCCCAATGGGCTCTACCTGGCCCGGAAGGCTCTCAAGGGGCTACTGAAAGAGGCCGAGAAAGAGCTCAAGAAAGCTCAGAGGCAGGGGGAGCTCATGGGCTGCCTGGCTTTGGGGGGTGGTGGGGAGCACCCTGAGCTGCACCGTCCAGGTCCACCTCCTCTTCGAGCAGCCCCACTCCTGCCCCCAGGAGCAAGAGGGCTCCCCCCTCCTCCTCCTCCCCTGCCCCCTCCACTTCCTCCTCGTCTTCGGGAGGAGGCTGAAGAACAGGAAAGCACCTGCCCCATCTGCCTGGGGGAGATCCAGAATGCCAAGACATTGGAGAAGTGCCGGCACTCTTTCTGTGAGGGGTGCATCACGCGGGCCCTGCAGGTGAAAAAAGCCTGCCCCATGTGTGGCCGATTCTATGGGCAGCTGGTGGGCAACCAGCCCCAGAATGGGCGGATGCTGGTCTCCAAGGATGCCACCCTCCTGCTACCCAGCTATGAGAAGTACGGCACCATTGTCATCCAGTATGTCTTCCCGCCCGGTGTCCAGGGGGTAAGAAGAAATAGGTGATGTGGGAAGTAGGTTGTTAGACATGGTGAACTCTTGCTGCTATCCCCCAGCATGCCTGAGGAATTGGTGCTCTGGAGCTGGGGAGGGGGTGTCTCCTTGAGGGCCAGCTTTTTTATCATCATGACCCAAAGGCACATGTAAAACTTAAGTATGAGGGCTAGAGTGTAGCTCAGTGGTAGTGCACATGTCTAGCATATGGGGAGCCCTGAGTTCAATCCCTGCCCCTAACAAAACCAAATCAAACAAGGAAATAAAACAAAACCCTGAAAACCAGGTATGACAGAAAGGCTTGAACACTCGTAACCTGACTTGTGAGGATATGATCCATAGTCTTGACCGAGGGACCGTCTCTGGAGTTGGTGACCCAGGTACAGGCGGGCACAACAGGAAGGGGACCTGGCCATCCTAACAGCTGGGGTGCTACTGTGTTCTGAATTATGAGACAATAAAAGCTTGGTGACAGTTGAAGGTAAATGTCTTCCTGCTGGACAGAGTCATGTACTGCTGGTTCACAGAGGGACGGAGACTCTGAAAGGAAGAAACAGAAATGGAGACATGAGGCAGTGGCAGAAGAAGCGTTAGTATTTTAGGTAGAGGAGGAGGGAATGGCAAAAGATAAATTTTCTTGTCACATTTTTGCTGCATTATCTGGAAAGTAATTTCTGTCACTTCTGAGAGTCCATTTGCTCCTGAATTAAGACCTGAGGGATTAATAGTAAGAATCATGTCCAGAAACAGGTTTCTTGGCCAGGCCCCAAAGCCATCCTTGCCTGGTACCCAGGCCTTTGAGACCCACCGCCAGCTGCTTTTCACCCACTCTGCCTCCTTCCTCTCAGGCTGAACACCCAAACCCAGGAGTTCGGTATCCTGGTACCACACGGGTGGCCTACCTCCCGGACTGCCCCGAGGGCAACAAGGTGCTGACCCTGTTCCGAAAGGCGTTTGACCAGCGTCTCACCTTCACTATCGGGACATCCATGACTACAGGGAGACCCAATGTCATCACTTGGAACGACATCCACCACAAGACCAGCTGCACAGGGGGACCCCAGCTGTGCGACTCCTCCTCATTTCCCTCCCCCTGCCTCCTCCCCTTCTTTCCATTTCTACTTTGGGGAGTTCTCTATCCTCTCTTCTGGGAGTCTCCTAACTGGAGAAGACTACCCACCACTTCCTCATTCTGTTTTCATCCTGGTCTTCATGTGTTCAGTTTACCAAACAAAACAAAACACAAAAACCCCTCAGACTCTAGCTTACCTTGGTTCTGGAGAAGTGGGGAAGGGTCTGAATTTGGCCTCTACTGAGTCTCTCGAAATGAGGGTGGGTAGTAATGAGCGAGTCCAAACAGCTAACTCTGACCCTCGTTTCTCTTTGCCCAGGTTTGGGTATCCGGACCCCACCTACCTGACCAGGGTGCAAGAGGAGCTGAGAGCCAAGGGCATCACAGATGACTGAAGGACATCCCTCTTGCCACGGCCCCTGCTGTCCTCTTCACTAGGATCCACCGGAAGCCTCTCTTCTCCTCTCTCTCTGCCCCCACACACCCACGAGGGGATTTGTCTGACTGGGGTGGGAGTTCAGTGGGGAAAGGGACAGCCCCTTCCCCTGCCCCCCACTGGCCGAGTGCTTCTGTGCCCTTTGAGCCACTCCCCTCTGGCAGAGGCTGGTTTCCAAGGCTCCCCTCCCTGCACTCCGTGTACATACTCTACGCCCCTGCTCCTGCAGTGTCCTAGGCTTCTCCTGGTATGTACTGTGCTCCAGTGACTAAGCTGAGAAAGGACCTGGGTAGGAAGGATGGAGGTCTCTTGAGCTCCAGCCCCTCAGTACTGTACTGTTTCATTGGACTGATATTAGCTGCCTCCCCAGCCAGCTGTGTGTTAAGATAACAGTAATCCTACCTTAACGGATCCTTTCTCTCCTGTGTTTGTCTCTGTCAGTCTGTCTTTCCCTCGCTCTTCCCTGCCCCTATAAGGAGCCTCCTCACCCTGTTCTGGAATTGCTGCCAGACTGTAGCTTTTAATTTAATAAAAATAAAGTAAAATATGCAACTCTATGCCACACCCGTTCTCTGCTCCTTGGACAGGGTAGGGGTGGGGAGCAGGACCTACTGAGGAAGAGATGGGGGAATGGGGAATCCTTGCGAGCCCACACAGTCCCTTTACCTCCGGGGACCCTGGAGAACAGGATGGAGCTAGTGCTGAGCGCTGCAATAACCCTGCAAAGCCCTAGGCCGCACTTCGATGGATGGAATCGGGACTAAGAGGGGTTTGTTTGTTGTTCAACTCCGTTTGTGGAGAAAAGAACATCCCTACCCCTTTTGCGAAGTTTGGCTGCGGTGGGAGCGGGGGCGGAGCCGGGCAGGGGGGCGGATTCAGCAGAAGCAACTCCCCGGACGCGCGCAGGCCTCAGAGCCCCCCAGCTTCCGTAGCCCCTCGGCCCTGAAACCTGAAGCAGGGTAGGGGTCCAGCATGAAGCCCCCGGACCGCCCCACCCCTGGCCGCACTGACCGGATACTGGGGGTCATGGGGGGCATGCTGCGCGCATGCGCCGTACCCGGGCAGGAGGGGGTAAGAAGGAGGGACCGCGGGTGGGGGGGGTCTTTAGGGGACTTTAGGAGAATTGCACTAAACGACTCAGTTTACCCGCATACAAAAGTTGTATGGAGCAGACGCAGGGATCCATAAGTTCAGTTATAAAGGCCATAGGCCAGGTTCATGTTGAACCTTTCAGAATAATGTGCTGTTTGACAGGCGGGAGAGGGGAAGGGGGAGGTCAAGGCAGTCTAGGAGGGGGTTCCTTACAGTGACTCTGTCCCCGCAGCCCCCGAAGAGAGATTCCTTAGGGCCTGGGAGTACCAAGACAGAGAGTGATTGTACCGAGGAGGATCAAAGAGGGGAGCGCGAACCTGAGGTCCGCGCTTGGGCTTTGCAGCCGGGTAAGAAGCTGGGCTTGGGTGGGGCACAGTTTGCCCTCCTGCGCAAAGTGGTGACTTCAAATAGATGCTGTTCATATTAACATAAAGGTCTGTACCTAATTTGCATGGGACCATTTAATCGCAGACACCACGCTTCTCTTCGCCTTCTAGCCCGATGTGTGTCCTCACTTCGGCGGGTCCCAAGCCCCCGAAGGCGGAGTGGAGTGTCCCCGCGCCCCACCCCTGGCCCTCGGCCAGCTCAGGCGCCTGGACTTCGCCTTAATTGGTGATTAGTTTTAGCTTGGAGTTCTGGGGCCTGGAGGAAAAGAAGGGTCGGGGGAGAGGGCGGCACCTGGCTTGTGTTCCTCACAAAGTGTTCCCCAAACACGCATGCCCTGCGTGGGGTGGGGGGGGGGGAGGAGACAGCCAGAACCCCAGAACGTTTCACACAAGCCAAGGCCCTATCTAGTGAATCCTTCATCTCAGAGGCCAAGGGGAGACCGAGGCAGACCCCACCTCCAGGCTTCTCGCCTAACCCAGCGCCCCGCAGTCGCAGCTGGGGTGCCAGAGGGAGCAGGATCGCGGGCGGGCGGGGGAGCCCAGGCAGGGAGGAGGGGTGGAGGTCTCGGGTCGTGGAGTGGGAGCTCGGTGGTGCCTGGGGGAGGGGGCTGGGGGAACGCGGGGGAGGCGGAGCTGGGCCCAGAGGCCCCTCCCCGCGGCTGCACCGCGGCCCGGCCTGTTATTCCGCTCGCCGCTCTGCCCGGACCCGCGCACCTCCAGTGGCTCCGGGAGTCGGCCCCCGCACCACCCCGCCCGGGCCTAGAGCCACCTCTAAGCCGGGGCCGGAGACGGAGCTGGAGCTGCTGTCGCATCCCGGCTGGGCCTCCCCTACTGTCCCTCCCTCTGGCTGGACATCTGGACCCTGGGCCCCGCACCGCCAGGGTTCCGGAAACCCTCCCCGCCCAACTCCGCGGCCCAGCCCCGCACGGCCCTCCCTCCAGACTCCCCTGCCCCGACTTCCGTCTACTCCAGGACCCCCGCTTCCCATCCCTTTCCTCCCCCCCTCCCCAAGCCTGGCCCCCGGTGGGAGGGAGGGGGGTGTGCGCCCTGCGCCGTCCCCGCCCCGCCCCCCGTGATTCCCCCTGCATGGCCGGCCCGGGTGGGAGGTGCGGGGGGGCCCGGGCGCCATGCGGGGGGGTCACAAAGGGGGTCGCTGTGCCTGTCCCCGTGTGATTCGAAAAGTGCTGGCAAAATGCGGCTGCTGCTTCGCCCAGGGGGGACGTGGTGAGTGCGAGGTCTTGGGGGGCAGCGTTGAGTTGCGGGGGTGACTTGAGCTGGGGTTTGGGGCATCTGCTTGCTCCGGCCCTAGGGATTTAGGGATGGAACCTGTACGTGCGTTTTCCAGGAAAGTGATTTAACAGAGACTATCTAAGGCCCTTTCTACTAGGTTTCTACTCATTCAAGTTGAGGAAGGGTCCGAGGACTCATCTCTTTCCTATAATCAGCAGGCTAAGAGGAAAACATTCTCTCACGGTCTTCTTAGGTCCAGAACCAAGTATTTACCCTCAAATCACTTGGCTGAAAAGTCTGCAGAAAAGAGAGCAGAGGAATGACGAACTGGGGGTGGGTGGGTAACTGTCTGTAAGCTTTATAAGAACTCGGGCTGCAGCTCTTCGCAGTTGTTGGCCAAAGATAACCCTGCTGTGCTATCCTCTCTGCCCCCTCTGTTGCGTGTATGCGTGTGCTGGAAAGGTGGGCTGTTCAAAAAAAAAAAAAAAAAAAAGAATTATATAGTAATCACTTCAGTTGGAGGAGGAGGGGCCTGGGGGTGGCAGACAGCTGAGCTCTTTTGTCCTCACCCCTCTCTGGGAGAATGGTCTGTACCTATTGGAAGGGGGAGTGTTGTAGGAAGGCAGATGGCTACCCCCGAGTCTCCAGTATCTGCCCAGATGGCTGCCCCCACCCCCATATCTGTGCTATGCTCAGGGTATGGGGACCTCCACATGGAAGTGGGGGAGTACAGGCCCTGAAGCCAGGTGTTTACTGTTCTTCCACCCCAGCCTGCCTTGCAAAGATTTCTCTCCCAGCAATTCAAATGAGGGTTGGCAAAAGAGGGGACCCTGGAAGGCAGGGTCTGAACATCACGGAGGTCAGGCTGGAAGTTCCCCTAGCACCCTAAGGCTGGAGCTGGGGTGATGTCCATCAACTGCTGTCTTTTTCCTCCCACTAGAATCCTATTCCATTGCGGGTAGTGAGGGGAGCAGATCAGTGTCCGCTGCCTCGGGTCTAGCTGTCCCGTCTGGCCCCAGCTCTGGCCTCAGCTCTCACCCCTGTTCTCCAGTCCCCCCTGGGCCAGTAAGTGGCCTGAGGAAATGGTTGGATCATTCCAAACATTGTCTCAGTGTGGAAACTGAGGCAGACAGTGGTCAAACGGGACAATATGAGGTGAGCAGGGAATGCCACGGAAGCAGGGCGATCAAGAATGACCCTGGGAAAGAGGGCAGCAGGTTGGGGTCACTGGGGAGCCCGCCTACTGTTCATGACCTCAGGAACTCTGTCTGGCCTTAGAACTGGATGCCGGAACCAACGCTAGCCACAGGAGAAGGGTTGCCAGAGCTAACCTTGTTGACTACGTTGTTGGAGGGTCCTGGGGACAAGACACAGGTATGAAGAAATAGAACGAGGCACGGGGCATGCACCTGTTCAGGGCCAACTTCAACTACATTCAAGTTCCGGGCCCTCCTGGGCTACATGAGATCATGTTTCAAAGCTAATCAAACAACAGCTGGAGACATGGCTCAGTGGTTAAGCACACTACTCTTCCTGAAGACCCAAGTTTAGGGCCTAGCACCTGCGTGACTCACAAGGACCTGTATCTCCAAACCCAAAGGAAACAGCACCCTCTTCTGGTCTCTGTGGGTACCAACACACAGTGATACCCCCAAAACCTATATAATAATAATAATAACTAATAATAATAATATCTTAAACCAGGTATGGTAACCCACACCTTTAATCCCAGCTCTCAGGAGTGCATCTCTGTAGGTTCAAGGCCAACCTGGTTTATATAGTGAGTTTCAAGACAGCCAGAGCTATTTAAAAGAGACCCTGTCTCAAAACACAAATCTTTTTTTTGTTTTTTGTTTTTCGAGACAGGGTTTCTCTGAGGTTTTGGAGCCTGTCCTGGAACTAGCTCTTGTAGACCAGGCTGGTCTCGAACTCACAGAGATCCGCCTGCCTCTGCCTCCCGAGTGCTGGAATTAAAGGCGTGCGCCACCACCGCCCGGCAAAACACAAATCTTTAAAATAAAAAACAAACAAACAAGCAAAAAAAAAACCAATGAATGAATATAGATCTGAGAAGGCTCTCCTCACTGAGAAAGTATTCCTTTTTGCCCTGGGATGCCTTTGCTTTCCAGGCACCTGAAGAGGAGACTTTGTCTCAAGCCCCCCAGAATGAGGAAGAACAGAAGAGGGTAGCCCTGGAAAGGAGTATGTAAGTCCACAGCGCGCTCCAGTTGCTGAACGCCCATAGAGCCCTCACATTTACAGCACCTCAGAGGGTGGCTCGACTAAGCAGGTCTCCATTCTTAAGTGACGGCGTCCTCGTATTGCCTTGTACCCCCTAGGTTTGTCCTGAGCGAGCTGGTAGAAACAGAAAAAATGTATGTGGATGACTTGGGACAAATTGTAGAGGTAGTTCTCTTTTCTCCTTCCCAGCCACGGCCCACTTGCTCTTTCCCTCTGTCTGGGGCTATTTTCAAGAGATGGTACCTCTGTACCACCTTCCTGGCACCCTGTACTTCTGGACTTTGTGTTAGGGCCACCCGGAGCCCAGGTCACGTGCTCATAGTACCATCTCATCCTTCCTACAGGGTTACATGGCTACCATGGCTACTCAGGGGGTCCCGGAGAGTCTCCGAGGTCGTGACAGGATTGTGTTTGGAAACATTCAGCAGATCTATGAGTGGCACCGAGAGTGAGTGCTGGAGCCCTGAGCCGGGTGCTGGAGCCCTGAGCCGGGTGCTGGGGAAGGGCCCTCATCTGGTAATCTCTCTGTCCTAGATTCTGAATCAGAACCATGGGTCCACTGGGACTCAAGGAGCCTTTGGAGTTCTGTAGGGGGGCGTGACCAGGGCTTGTAACTGGAGATCTGGGATGTGTAAGGAGGCAGAGGGGTTCGAGGAGGGTTTGATGTGTTGCCCGTCTCCCAACTCTTCCAGCTATTTCCTGCAGGAGCTGCAGCAGTGTCTGAAAGATCCTGATTGGCTGGCTCAGCTGTTCATCAAACATGTGAGGCTGGGCCCTAGTAGGGAAAGGGCTTGTGATGGGTCTGGGCTCAGTGGAGATGTGGCCTCTTTTGTTATACTCTGCTTTCTTCGACGTTATCCCTGTTAGGAGCGCCGGCTGCATATGTATGTGGTCTACTGTCAGAATAAGCCCAAGTCAGAGCATGTGGTGTCAGAATTTGGGGACAGCTACTTTGAGGTCAGTGGGTGAGGTGTCTTGTGGGGGGAGACACAAAGCATAGAGTCAGCATAAACAGGCTTTTCAGGCTACATAACTGACCTGTCCTTGTCTCCAGGAGATCAGGCAGCAGCTGGGACACCGTCTGCAGCTCAATGACCTCCTCATTAAACCTGTGCAGCGAATTATGAAATACCAGCTGTTGCTCAAGGTCAGGACCACCCTAGTCCCTGGTGACACTGCCAGCTGGGCAGGACCACCCTAGTCCCTGGGGACATGGCCGACTGGGCAGGACCACCCTTCTCCCTGCGGACACGTCTGGCTGGGCAGGACCACCCTAGTCCCTGGGGACTCAGCCGGCTGGGCAGGACCACCCTTCTCCCTGGGGACACAGCCGGCTGACTGGGCAGGACCCCCTTCTCCCTGGGGACATGGCTGGCTGGGCAGGACCACCTTCTCCCTGGGGACACAGCCGGCTGACTGGGCAGGACCCCCTTCTCCCTGGGGACATGGCTGGCTGGGCAGGACCACCTTCTCCCTGGGGACATGGCCGGCTGGGCAGGACCACCTTCTCCCTGGGGACATGGCCAGCTGGGCAGGACCACCTTCTCCCTGGGCACACGGCCAGCTGGGACGGGTCATTCCCCAGTCATCTTCGGGGTTCTGGATCCTCTACAGAGTTGTCCCTCGTGCCCTGGGTATTCGAAACAAGCACTTCCGTGGACGTGCTCACAGCCTCCCTAAGCGCCTCCCCTTTATGTCCTAGGATTTTCTGAAGTATTACAGCAGGGCTGGGATGGATACTGAGGAGCTGGAGGTGAGGTTCCCAGGACACCTGCCCACCTTGTCCTCTTAGTCTTGTGGGTACCTCGGTCTCTGAGCGGCTCGGGGATGTCTGGTTTTTAGGGAGAGGCCCCTGGGGTGGTGATGTGTGGAGAGACCTCTTTGCCAGTAATGACGCCACTCTTCCCTGTATCCCAGCAAGCTGTGGAGGTCATGTGCTTCGTGCCCAAGCGCTGTGACGACATGATGTCGCTGGGGAGACTGCGGGGATTCGAGGTATGGGAACAGGGCTGGAAACTGCAGTTCTTGGGCTCAGGTCTTAGAACTCTGGATCCTTATAAGGAATTACCTTCTGAGCAGCTCCACCGGGGTTAGTTGGGAGTGTGGGGGTGGGGAGGGAGAAGCTGATGCTCTTTTCAAACCCTTCTTGTGCTTTCTCAGAGGCTATGTCCTTTGGTTCCAGGGAAAACTGACGGCTCAGGGGAAGCTCTTGGGCCAGGACACATTTTTGGTGACAGAGCCTGAGTCTGGGGGTCTGCTTTCTTCCCGGGGTCGTGAGAGACGTGTCTTCCTGTTTGAGCAAATCATCATCTTCAGTGAGGCACTGGGAGGAGGAGGTCGAGGTGGCACACAGCCTGGCTATGTGTACAAGAGCAGCATCAAGGTGGGGAGGGCCATCAGGAAGGGAGCAGGCTGGGACAGGGTGAGGGAGGCCTCACGATGTCTGACTCTATGGGTTAGTGGAGGGGCCTGCAGAATCTGAGGACTGTGTCTGTTCGCAACTTCAGGTGAGCTGTCTAGGACTGGAGGGCAACCTCCAAGGCAACCCTTGCCGGTTTGCGCTGACCTCTAGGGGGCCAGAAGGTGGGATCCAGCGCTATGTTCTGCAGGCTTCAGACCCTGCAGTCAGTCAGGCCTGGATCAAGCAAGTGGCCCAGATCCTGGAAAGCCAGCGTGACTTTCTCAATGGTGAAGCTCCCATCATCCCTTTGCAGTAGGCTCACAAAGCCTTTTGACCTCCGGAACCCTCCTCCCCCCTGGACCAAATCCCAACCCTTGGTTCTTTGTGCCTGGCACTTCTCCCTCCTCCATCCACCCAGCATCCTCTAAAAAGTCCCAAGCATCTTACATTGGCTAACTTAGGAGGGCAGGCATATGGGAGGAAGGGAGAAGAAGCAGAGGGCTTAACCCGTCTCTCCTGTAATACATCTCTGTTCTTTGCCTTGCCCAGCATTGCAGTCACCCATTGAGTACCAGAGACGGGAGAGCCAGACCAACAGCCTGGGGCGGTCAGGAGGGCCTGGGGTAGGGAGCCCTGGGAGGATACGGCCTGGAGACCTGGCCCAGGTCAGCATGCACACACCCATCAATGGCTCCCTCCCTTCCCTGCTGCTTTTGCCCAAAGGGGAAGTGCCCAGAGCACCCTTACCCCTGGATATACAGGTATGAGGAAGAGTTTACTACTAGGGTACAAGGGAGGGCCTTTGTTCCCCCACCGTCTCCTTCCTTCCGCCACTTTCCTTTTGTGTGACTTTGCTACTTTCCATCCTTAACTTCTTCACTTTAATTCTGGGGCAAGAGGAGGGTGGCCTGGCTAGGGCTTTACCTGGAAAGAGGGGTGAGGGTAGACTGGTGGCCTCTGTTGATCTTCTGGCTTGAATCTTCCTGCAGGCTCTCAGTGACACCCCCCAGACTCCTCGCCACCCTCCAGCCCTTCCGGCTCTGAGCACCCCTCCCTGTCAGGCCAGGCTGGCAAAGCTGGATGAAGATGAGTTATAGTGATGAAGGCCTTGGGCATGGTGCTGATTCGGCCACTGGTTCCTCGAGGAACTGGAGGACAGTCCTGGCAATGTGCCAGAGACCTTTCTTCCTGCTGTGTGGGGGATGGGCAAAGCTGGGAGAGCTCAACACGGAGGGGCCTACCTAGAGCTGCGAGGCCTCCGCTCTGCACAAGGAACTCCACGCATGCGTCCCTCAGATGGAGGATATGTAGGGGCTTGGAGGGGGGGCTCGGGCTGGGGCCAGATAGAAATGATTGGTTTCGTTGTGATTTTGTTTTCCAGTTTCCTGTGAATAAAAGTTTTGTTACATCACTAGGCTGCAGTCTTGGTGGTGGGGAGACAGAGAGGCTGCAGTGGGAACGGATTGGTGAAGTACCCTTAGGGGAGGTCTGTAAGAAAGGCAGAGCCAGGACCCTCAGTCCCAGCACTCGGAGGCAGAGGCAGGCAGATGTCTGTGAGTTCGAGGCCAGCCTGGTCTACAGAGTGAGACCCTGTCTCAAACATACAAATAACGAAACAAGAGGATAGAAGGTCAGAAGAGCCTCTGTCCTTGTCTCCCACCTGCAATTAGTTACAGCATCTCCCAGTCCACACCTGGGGTTTAGGGAAAACTCTGAAGTTCTCTTAATGTATTCTCCCCTTTATTTGGTCCTTCTGGGTTCTAGATTTATTCTTTGGTTCAAACTCAACCAGAAGGCTCACTTCCTACTACCCTCCCCCAACATCTAAATACTAGTATATAAAATATCCAGTGTAAAAATAAATAATAGATGATAGATAGATAGATAGATAGATAGATAGATAGATAGATAGATAGATAAATTGTTCAGGGTACCTTTGTCTGAGGCTTCAATGTCCTGCCGAAGACTGGGAAGGTGGAGAGGATTGGAGTCTCCTTCTCCCTCTTTGGGGGAAGGGGGAAGGTCCACACTGAATAGAAATGGAGTCTTTAAGCCCAGCGCTAAGAGTGGAGCGCTGAAGAGGTCTTCACCCCTCCCAACTCCTGGCACAGCCTCTGGGACAGAGACAGCCAAGGGTACAGAGACCCAGATGGCTTCTGGGTCCCTATGTATCTGTGTCCACTGTGTCCACCGGTCCCCTGGGCTCAGTCACGTGAGCTGGGGCTTCCTCAGCAGACAATAGATTGCTGGGGTGGGAGGGTGTGGAGATGCTGGAGCCTCCCCATGGGTCCCAGGCCCCTTTGGCTGACAATGAGGGGAGGGATCTATAAGGGGGGGGGACAGGACGTGAGGCCCAGATAAGATTTCTGGGGAACAATAGGAGGAATTGAAGAGGAGAGGCCCACCCTCTCTGTACCCCACCCTGGGCTTTGGGGTCAGGGACTGGGGGAGTCAGACTGATGGGGGACGCTGAACTGTCTTTGAATCGGGAGGGATGACAGAAAACAGCAGGAATTGGGGGCTCCGAACTTTTGTGTCTCTTCTGAGACCACAGGGGTGCATGGGTGGGTGCATGGCCCCTTTGTGCTCCTGGGACAGCCAGGCCCACCAGTGCCAGCTGCAATGGCGCAGTCAAAGCAGCTGGGGACAGCCATGCGAGCAGCAAGTGCCATGCCCTTAATTTAAACATGTACTGTGGAATGCCTGCTTTGAGAATAAACCTGGATGTAAGGAACGGTATCTCAGGGCTTTGCTGCACCTAAGAGACAACATAAACATTTCTTTCTGGTTCATTATTTCCCCTAAACCAGGTCCAGCCACCCTAGCAGAGAGCTGGGTGGTTCCGTCTCTGTCCTTGCTCACTGAATATTGGCTTATAAAACCTGCTTTCTCGTTGTAAAACCCGCTCCTTAGGGTCAGTTTGCCATATGAGGAAAGGGATTTGGGTGGGGAATTCCAACTGGCGATGAACATCGTATTCCAGCCGTGCGAGTGTGCAGGGGCTCAGGAAAGACCGTTGACCCAAAGGAACCAGCTAGCCTTGCTCAAAGTGCCGGAGTGGAAAGGGTCCTGCTGAAGAGGACCACTGGAAGTGGCTTTGGGTCTCTTATCTCTCTACAGTTCCTCAGGGCAGGCCCCCAGGCTTCCAGGCAGTCAGATCCGGCTAAGGATGTCTGAGGAGGCGCCTAACATAGGGACTTTTTCCACCCAAGCCTGACCCAAGGAGGTACTCCAGAAAGTACCCTCTACAGGTCCGGATTGGACCCTGCTTTGTGGAGGCGGGCTCAGGACTAGCGGGGGTGGGGTGGGGGGCGCAGAAGGGTATTTAAGACCGGGAGATGCTGCAGGGGACCAAGGACAAAATGAGTGGATCACTTGTCTCTGGGACCTGCTCAGGTCCGGAAGAGGTTTCTGACCTGAAGTCTCCGCTGAGTTCTAGGTTCAGGGAACCTCTCACCCACGCTCGGTTCCAGGAGCTTTACGGAGGCGCAGAAGAGCCGGAAGTACCAGCCGAGCCCCGCTTACCCTGGCTGTGCGGGTTGTGGAGGAGGCGAGCTGGCTGCTGTTCAGGGCCGGGGGCGTGGCGCGTGCTGCAGGCACGGCTGCCTCCGCTGCGCTGGCTGCCCCATTACCGCTGGCGAGCGTGGCTGCTAGGAGATGCAGTGGCTGGAGTGACCGTGGGCGTTGTGCACGTGCCCCAGGGTGAGAGGCCCCAACTACAGCCTATTGGGGTTCCAAGCTATGGGGAGCTGAGAATTGAGCAGTGAGGTGGTGGGTTAGTATCCCTGCTGGGTCAGAGGGGGAATTTGAGAGTAGAACTGTGGGACTCCATCATATTCCCACCCCTACCCGTCCTCATCTGTGCAATCCTGTGAGACATCTTGGACTCTGTTCCGCCTCAGAGAACTGGAGAGAGGCACAAAGCCTGCCACCCAGGACGTGGGCAAGGATCTGTGACCTTGTTGGCCTCACGACCTCCCACTGAGGCCCATTAACCTCTCAGTTCCCTCGGGTGTCCTGATTTATACTGTCCAATGGCCAGTCCAAGAGTGTGGGAAAGGGCAGTACCTGGAGGCTATAGACGCCCCCCCCCCGCGCCACCGCCCGCTACACATACTTTTTCTTCTTCCCCTTAGGCATGGCTTTTGCCCTCCTGACCTCTGTGCCCCCCGTGTTTGGACTCTACACTTCTTTCTTTCCGGTCCTCATCTACAGTTTGCTGGGCACTGGGAGACACCTGTCCACTGGTGAGTGGCCAGACATGACTTCTCTTTAAGATGAAAATAGTCAGAGGTTTGAAGCTGCGGGGGGAGAGGGGAGGGCAGGGTCTCACTGTACAGTCTTAGCTGGTCTGAGGCTCCCTAGAGACCAGGTGATTTCGAACTCAGAGATCTGCCTGCCTCTGCCTCCCTCTGGTTGGTATTAAAGGCGTGAGCCAAACATACCTTGGCAAGACTGCCACTTGAAAGCTTTGGGGCGCTGTTCCCCCTGCCACCTTCCCTCACCTACTTGCCGCCATCCCTCTTTGGATATCCCCATCCCATTCCCAGCCTCTTTGCACAAACTCTGTGACTCCCACTTCCCCCCCCCCCATTCCAAGCTTGCTGGAGTGGATACAGAGGCAAGAGTTTACACGAATCTCCTCGTCCCTGTGAAATTTGGTTATATTTGGCCTTGAAGGAAAAGAAGTGCACAGTCCGCTGAGAGCCTGCAGAGGGGGCACTTTTGCCGAGGGGCACACTTTTCTTTCCTGCCTACTGGTTCCCGGCCCATGTACCAGCCCATGACCCCAAGATCTTCACCTTCTAAGAGAGTGGATCAGACAGCAGCACCCTAGGCTGTAGAACTGCGGGACTCTGCGCGGCTGCTCTGCCCCAGGCTGCACCACTGCTTATCTCTGCGTCTGACCCCACTGCTGCAGGAACCTTCGCAGTCCTCAGTCTCATGACCGGCTCTGTTGTTGAGCGGCTGGTGCCCGATCCCCTCGCGGGGAACCTCAGTGAAATTGAAAGGGAGCAATTGGAAGCTCGGAGAGTTGGGGCGGCAGCGGCTGTGGCCTTCGGGAGTGGGGCGCTGATGGTAAGGGAGGACTCAATGCTGACCCTAAGGGATGGATCCACCGGAGAGAATCAGAAACAACAATTGGGCCTGAGGGTGGGGGATGAGGGAAAGAATAGGAACACGCCTCGGGTTCAGGTCCCGCGTGGCGGATGTGCAGTGGGGGAGCTGGCTGGTCTGTTGGCGATCGCACACCGCTCCCCTCCCACTCTACCTTCTCCACAGCTAGCGATGTTCGCTCTACAGCTTGGGATCCTGTCTACCTTTTTATCTGAGCCTGTGGTTAAGGCGCTAACCAGCGGGGCCGCGCTACACGTGCTGGTGTCCCAGCTACCAAGCCTCTTGGGTTTGTCTCTCCCACGCCAGATCGGCTGCTTTTCTCTCTTCAAGGTGGGAGTGGAAAAAGAGTCACGGGAAAGGGACAACTTGAAAGGGGAGGCGTGGAGGGTGGAAAAATGGCATTCAGCGGGAAAAGAGTGTCAGGAACCACGGTGCTGCGTGAGGGCGCTGGGGAGAAGAGCTGCTCGGCTCTAGCGGGTTGGTGTTGAATCCGGCAGAGCCGATTAACACTGGTACCCAGTCCTGCTCGTGGTCCCTTCCTGCAGACGCTGGCTGTGGTGCTCACCGCCCTGGCCCGGAGCAGTCCTGCAGAACTGACCATCTCAGCGCTCAGTCTGGCGTTGCTAGTGCCGGTCAAGGAACTGAACGTGAGATTCCGGGACAGGCTACCCACTCCGATCCCAGGAGAAGTTGTCATGGTGAGGGCCATCCTAGGTCCTTGCCCCCTGCTGTGTCCCCCACTTACCCGGCCAGCAGGATCTAGAGGCTGCCGCCCCCTTGTGGAATACACAGAAGTTACACAAGCAAGACGTTCTGTTGACACTTGGACTTTCCAAGAGTTTTCTAGACCAATTGACCCACCAGAACTGCTTGCCTGTATACAGTTCCTCTCCCCCGGTCGAGTTCGCTCCGGGCCTCTTTGCACTCTCTCTGTTCTCCTCACTGGCCTCTCGCTGTGATCCACTGTATCTCCCTTTCACTGCCCACCCAGATAACTCTCTTCCTGTGTAAATAATGTCATCGCTCTCCACAGGTATCTCAGATAGACTTAGAACGGCTCAAGTGGATCTTTTGTGTCCATCTCTCCCAAAGGACCTCCTCTTAGCTCCTTTGTCTCCCTATCTCTCCGGCAAACACTACCCCCCTTCCTTCGCTGTAGGTGAGACAGAGATGATAGGCATCCATTCCGAACATTCTGTGGCCTCACCAGCTAAGACCACCCAGACCCACACTGGGATTCTCCTTCAGGCTGAGGTTCTTCTAGACTCTGCCAAAGGCCCCGTCTCTTTCTAGGCTCTACTGTGCTGTTTTCCTTAGGTGCTTCTGGCCTCTGTGCTGTGTTTTGCCTCTTCCCTGGACACAAGATACAACGTCCAGGTAGTTGGAGTATTGCCTGGAGGGTAAGAGAGAGAAAAGACACCTCTTCCTCCCCCCACCTCTCCCACAGACACCCTCCCTTGTCCTGCCCAATTCCAGTTGCTTCTCCTACTCAGTTTTCCCGTAACAACCAACCCATCCTTAGCATGGCTCCTTCCCTCTCTAGGTTCCCCCAGCCGCTCTTCCCCGCCCTGGACGAGCTGCCCAGGATACTGGCCGACTCGCTACCCATTGCCTTGGTTACTTTTGCCGTGTCCACCTCCCTGGCCTCCATCTATGCAGACAAGTACAGCTACACAATTGACCCCAACCAGGTGTGACCCTGGATGCCAGCCTTTTCCAGGAGCGACCCCTTAGCCGTATCCTTCCATGCCCATGCATTTTTCCTCCTGACTTCATGGTGTCCTTGTAGGAGCTCTTCGCCCATGGTGTCTCCAACCTCATCTCTTCTCTCTTCTCTTGCTTTCCCAACTCGGCCACACTGGCTACAACCAGCTTATTAGTGGATGCTGGTGGGAACACACAGGTAAGAGGGACCCCTTGGGTGAGAGGAAAAGATGGGATTTTCAGGTAGGGATGACCACAGAAGGTGGGGAAACAGGCAGACACCCCAATAGATCCATATATTAGAGGGTGGGAGTGAGAGGAGGGATTATAAGGAGGAGGATTAGACAATAATGAAGTTCCACGGGGACCTCTGCAGGCTGGAAGCACTGACAAAGGCTATGGTTCCTCAGATTAATTAACAAACTACATGCCTCAAGGTGGGGGGGGGCACGCATTTGATCCCAGCACTCGGGAGGCAGAGGCAGGCGGATCTCTGTGAGTTCGAGGCCAGCCTGGTTGGTCCAGAGCTGTTACACAGAGAAACCCTGTCTCAAAAAAAACAATATATGGGGTGACTTCAATTCTCAGCAACCACATGATGGCTCACAACCATCTGTAATGAGATTTGGTGCCCTCTTCTGGCCCATGGCATACAATGCAGAGAGAACACTGAAGACATAAGTAAATGCAGTTTTTAAAAAAACCTATGTATGTGTGTGTACATATATGTGTGCATGTATATAAACACATGTATATGTATACATATATGTATGTGTGTGTGTGTTGTATCACATAGCCAGAATTCTAGAAACTAGGAAGGCTGACTGAATCAGGGGGACCTGGGCTTCAAGGCTGTCTTGGGTACACAGAGACTTTCAAAATGAAACTACTATGCTGGGTGGGGAGATGGCTCAGTGGATAAAGTGCATGCTTCACCACAGAAGCATGAGGGCAGGAGTTCAAATCCCCAGCTCCATGGCGACCCGTCCTGAAGACAGCCAGGGGATGGGGTGCCCTGAGCATCAATGAGCTCTGGGTTCAACTGAGAGACCCTGCCTCAGTGTGGCAGAGGAGTTACAGAGGAAGACACCAGTGTCGCTGTCTACAAGAACCGGGACACAGGTGTGTTGTCCTTACACACACACACCCCTATAAATGTAGGATATAAAACTCTGACATTTTCAATAAGGACCCCTAAAAAAGAAAGAAATATTGCCCCTCGTGATTCTTGCCCTAGTTTTTTTGTTTTCCATGATTACTTGTTGGTTCCTAAGCAGATGACTAGCCTGCTTGTCATCAGCACCAAGAGGACCTTTTATTTTATTTTATTTTATTTTGCGAGACAGGGTTTCTCTGTGGCTTTGGAGCCTGTCCTGGAACTAGCTCTGTAGACCAGGCTGGTCTCGAACTCACAGAGATCTGTCTGCCTCTGCCTCCCGAGTGCTGGGATTAAAGGCATGCGCCACCATTACCCGGCAAGAGGACCTTTTAAGATGGAGATGCGCTTCAATAGTGTGAGGCCAACCTGCACACATCTGGGAGCAATCGGCAAATGACAGGCATTTAGCTGGGGGGGAGGAGCTCAGTGTGACTGGCAGAACATCAAGAGGGTAGTGAGCAGGGCCTGTGTGTGGGAGGAGGGAGAGGTCTGAGGGACGCGAGACAGGCTGGGCAGGGAGACCGGCTCCCACACAGGTGGGGATGGAGGTTTCCCTTCCTCCCTTCTCGGCTTTCTTTCCCTGCAGCTGGCCGGCCTCTTCTCCTGCGTAGTTGTCCTGGCAGTGCTGTTGTGGCTGGGGCCCTTCTTCTACTATCTGCCCAAGGTAGGGAGGAAAAGAGACACCATGTGCTTGAGTGGAGCTGGCTGAGCTCCAGAGCCTTTGGACAAAGGCCTCTTCTTCTCTCTCTCAAGGCTGTCCTGGCTTGCATCAATATCTCCAGCATGCGCCAGATGTTCTTCCAGATGCAGGAGCTGCCACAGCTATGGCGCATCAGCCGCGTGGACTTTGTGAGACATGGCATTACCCCGGCATCCCCGGCTTCTGCCTGGGCCCAAAGCTGATCATCCTGGTCTAAGTTCTTTAACCCATGCAACACACAGACCTCATGCATATGTTAGAGAAAAGGAAAAGGACCCGAGTGTTTGGGGGCACTTTTTTGATGGTTCTGAAGATTAGACCCAGAACCCCATGAATATTAGCAGAGCTCCCTACCACTGTACTGTGCCCCCAGTCCAGACCTCCTGACTCACGCAGGGTCTGACATTATTATATTTGGTGTGTATACTCTTAAGCCTCTCCCTCTGCCATGCCTCCTTTCTCCTGAGTCATCCTTACTCATGTTTGTCCATGAGCCTGTGTTTCTTCTGGGAAATCCACCCATACCCATATCCTTCAGGCTGTGTGGATGGTCACATGGGTGGCAGTGGTGACCCTGAATGTGGACCTGGGCCTGGCTGTGGGCGTGGTCGTCTCTATGATGACAGTGGTCTGCCGCACTCAGAGGTGAGCGTAGAGATGGGTAGAGTTGAAATGAGGGGAGGAAGCTAGGTACTCTGGGGGTGACTACCGCCAAAGGCTGGGACTCTGACTCTAGCTTCTTCCCTAGGGTGCAGTGCCTGGCACTTGGATTGGCTGAGGGGACCGAGCTCTACAGGCCACTGAGAGAGAGCCATAAGGTGGGCAGGTAGCAACCAAAGAAGGCAGGACTGATTCACAGGACGCTCCTGACTCTCTTACCCTTCAGCTCCTCCAGGTTCCGGGTCTCTGCATCCTGAGCTATCCAACACCACTCTACTTCGCAACCCGTGGGCAGTTCCGCCACATCTTGGAGTGGCGTCTGGGGCTTGGAGAAAGAGGCAAGGTGAGGACTTCGGTCAAGGGGGAGTGTGGACCCTCTAGGGTTGGGAGCCTAGTATGTCTTGAGATTGCAAGTTGGTGCCTGTGACTTGGAGGTGGTGACATTGTTTTTCTCTGTTTATAGCAGGCTCCAAAGCTGGGTAGTCTACCTGACAAAGGTGAGACGGGATGAGAAGAGGGAGCTTTGGCCGTGAGCCACCAGGTGTCTGGATGCTCCTGCTTTCTTCCATCCCAGGTGCTGAGCCCATCAGAGTGGTGGTCCTGGACTTCAGCGGCATCAGCTTTGCGGATGCTGCAGGGGCCAGGGAAGTGGTACAGGTAAGGGAACAGGGAAGCTAAGGAAAAGCTCCCTTCATGCCACGCATGCCCTTGATTTGGGGTTTAACCCCTGTCTGGTTCCTGCAGCTCACCAGGCGATGCCAGGATGCTGGGATCTGTCTCCTCTTGGCTCAGTGCAATGGTGTGTGACATGAAGGATGGGGGGAGGGGGGAGGACTGTGACTGGACACTTGTGGAAGGGATTGGGGGCCCGAGCACTTGACACCTTTCCCACACAGCTTTGGTGCTGGAGACCTTGACCCGGGCAGGACTCCTGGAGAGAATGACCCCAGAACAACTCTTTGTGAGTGTCCAGGATGCAGCCGCACATGCGCTGGAGAGACTGGTGAGGCAGGAGCCAGGAGGTGCTGGGCTGGGGAGGGATGTGGAGAAGGGATGGAGGAAGCTCAAGAGGGAAGCAGGGAGAATCTGACTTGCATTGAAGGGGGGGCGTACCCTTAATCCTCCAGCACACAGAGGCAGGATGATTTCTATGAGTTTGGGGCTAGCCTGCTCTACACAGGGAGTTCTAGAACAGCCAGGGATACATAGAAAGAATTTGTCTTGAAAAACAAACAAACAAACAAACAAGTTAGGGAGTGTGGGCACCCTTCACCAATGGTGAAGACTAAGGTCTCCAAAGGGCTGAGATGCTTCCAGCGCACTGAGTCTCAGAGATGGACGGCTGTAACAAATATTTCTCAACTGTCTCTTTTCTTCCCCTAGAAGCCCACTGGCCCAAAGATTTGTACAGTGTGGGTCTAACCAAGGTCACTTGGAGTATGAGAGGTCCCAACAGTCTGTGTGTGGAAGGCCACGGCCCCTGAGCCCCCACCCCAATACAACCAATAAAATGAAGCCAAGAGTGTCTGCAGCCCATCAAGTGTCTGCCTTTGCAACTCTCCAGTCCCCCTCCCAAGCCCACCCCACACCCAAAGTACTGCAGACACAAGGAAAATGGTGTTCACCATGTGTTCTCCAGCTCCACACAACGGTCACAGTGCTCCCTGTGGGGTATGTTGAAGCTGGGACACATGGTGCTGGATCCAGAGCTGGGGTGGGGGTGCGTGTCCCTGGGGTTGCACATTGGGAGTTTCCCTGCCCCCTCAGGAGGTGAGAGTTGTTTCCACTTGAGGGTCTCAGAGTCCTTCTGGGCTCTTTGGCACTTGGAAAGTGAATCCCCCCATTTCCTGCCCCATTGGAATGGGGTTGGGGAAGGACTTGGCACTGGCTGTGGGAAAGGTTATGGCTCCATCAGGCCTCTGGTCACTCACAGAAAGGAAGGGTTGTCACCAGGACAAACCCCTGTTAGGGATCAGGTTGATGGACAGGGGGTCAGGGGTCAGGAGTTGGAGGGGTTGTTGGGAATTCCTGGCAGGGACCAGGAGGCAGGCCCAGCCTGACAGTGGGAAGGCCCAATCAGCTGTCACTCAGCGGTCATGCACTGTAGCCTGTGCTTGAAGAAGAGCAGACGATGTTTGGCCACCTGACTCTGGTCCAGCGATCCCGGGTAACGGTAGCGGGCATAAGTGTCTGCCTGCGTATCCTTTGACACCCACGGCAGTTTCACCTTCGAGGCGTGATCCACGACAATATCAGAGCAGGAGCCAACACGAAGGGAACCAAGTCCGTCCAGGAAGAATTCTGGGGTGAGGGTGGGAGAGCACACGGTTAAGTCTTCGGAGGGTGTAAAAAGCCAGCTCCTAGGGAGAACCGAATTGCCCAGCTCAGAGGGTGGCTGGGCAAAAACTCGGTTGCTAAGGACGCTTTAGCGGCTTTCGGTCTCTTGAACTCATGTATAAAGTGGGGTTCATTTTAATAAAGACTGGATTCATTCCTCTGAGTAAGTCTGGACCTAGGGAAGCAGCCAGAGAGAAGGGTGACCTTGGCAGTGGAAAGTAAGTTCAGTGCTTACTTTCCCACAGGGATCAGCTGCTGTGTTGTCTAAGGTGTACACGGGACGTCAGGCAGAGGAGGAAGTTTCGAGGTTTTTTTTTTTTTAAGCTCAGGTGCAGGTGCAGACTCCGGTAACACAGCCCCCCCCCCCTCACCGCAACTGTTCCAGCATTCACCGGGAGGGGGGAGGGGAGTGGGGAGTGGGTGCTGCAGAGTGGCAGCTTGGCGCGCCCGGCCAGAGCTGCACCGGGTCCTTCCCAGGCCTCGCCAGGAGGCGGCGCCACTCACCCAGATGTGCCACCCGGTTGAGGCGCGGGTCAAAGCCCACCTCGCGCACTTTGTCCGTGCGCGCCAGGAAGAAGTTGACCACGCCGTCGGTGACCACGCAGTTTGGGAAGCCAAGGAGCTCGTGGTGGAAACCACGTTTATGCCGAAGGCAGTCCCCAAGGCCTGGGGCGCCCGGCTCCACAGTCAGCAGCTGCCGGTAGGTGGTAGAGAAACCCGAGATCTCCCGCACCGCGCCCCCAACCTGCCGGGGGTGAGAGGATGCTCCAATGAGAGTCAGGTCCCCCAGAGTTAGGTGCTTCCTATCAGCGCCGCCGCCCCGCCCCGCCCTCGCCCTGTAGGCGTCAGCACCACAGGACCCAGGACTGTCCCCCAGGCTGGCTTCACCCGAGGACGCACCGCGCTTCCACCCCCCGTTCCGCGCCCCTCCCTACCAGGTCCAGGGGCGTTCTCTCCAGCACGTTCACAAGCTTCTCCAGCCGCGTGCGCGCCGTGAAGACGAAGTCGTCATCCACCCACAGCACGTATTTGGTGGTTACTTGGGATACCGCCAGGTTCCGACCTGCGAACCAGCCCTAGGAGAGTTGTATTATGCTTGGGGAGTCTGTAGAAGCAGGGAAACTCTGCCGTCTTTCTTCCTCTCCCCTGACCCTCGAAACAGCCTGTACCCTTCTCTAGACTTTTGAGTACTTACGCATGACTGGAGGAAATTAAGTTGTTTTTTTTTTTAAACATAACAAAACAAAACAAAAAAACTAGCCCGCAGGTTCCCACCACTCTTTAAAGATCTTGAATCTTTTGGAGGAAGGATCTTGAAATACATTTAATTTCATGCGTGCATCTACCAATTTATTCTATTATTATAGGTAACAGCACCATTTCAAGAATGCAGAACGAACGAGCTAGCCAAAATTCCAGATCCGGGATCTCTTACAATAGGCACACACTTGTTTCTGAGGCAGGTGGTCCTCAATCACTACCCTGCAAGCTGCAGACTGAGGGCACGCCCCCTTCCCAGAGTCCTCTGGTGCCCGGGTTCAGCTCCGCAGGCAGCGCACCTTGCCGAAGGGCATGAAATAGTGCTCCACGTGGGGGTCGCTAATGCGCTCCGGTTTGTCGCTGTCGTCAGCGATGATTATGGTAACGGTGGGGTAAAAGCGACGAATGCTGGCAATGAGTGTCCGTAGACGCTCATAACGAAGAAAGGTCTTGGTGGCGATGGTAACCAGAGCACTGATGTTGTACTGGGCTGAAAGCAAGATGCAGGGTTGGGTGCAGAAAGGGAGGGGGGAGTGGGGGAGAGAAACGGGAAAGCAGCCCCTCCCAGGGCTAACCCTACTTTACTTCCCTAATCCCGCGAGCCTCACCTCCCTCGCGTACATATGAAGGTGGGTACAGCCGGGGTTGGGGAGGATATCTTATGCGGATGGTGAAGGCAGCTTCATGTCCCTTGGTGGAGAACCGGACTGGGAAGAAAGGACGTGGAATTGGACCCTTAAGGCTAGAAGAACATTCTCTTTTCAGCAAACCAATATTTAAATCCCTATTCTGTGTTCTGCCTTTCCAGACCTTGGTAGGCACGAACATACAGTTCTGACTTCTGTGGAACCTGTGTTTTGCTGTTCTGTGGTGATGGGAATTGAATTTAGAGCCTAACACATGCTCCAAAGCACTCTGCCACCAAGTTCACATCTCCAGCCCTATTTTTCTTCCACGGGATGACCTCTGTCTCTTGAATAAGATTACAGGTGTTATCACCACAGTGTCTCCTAATAAGACATCCTATAGAGTTCTGCACCATGCTGGGGACTGACCCCACAGTCTTGTGCACGCCAGACAAGCACACTACCCAATGAGACTGAGCTACACATCTGGCCAGAAGTTGACAGTTTAGGAGATGGAACAAAGGCAATGGAACTTCTCTTCTTTCCTTCCTTCCTCCCGTTCTTTCTTTTTCCTTTTTTTCCCCGTTTGGCTTCTTGAAAGGGCTGGGTCCTGCTTATGAAGCCCGGACTAGCTCGGTACTTGCTGCACAGCCCAGGCTGCCTTCAACACTGAGGCAATTCTCTTACCTGCCTCCGATCCCAGAGGGTTGGCATTATAGGTGAGCATTACCATGTCTAGCAAAAGCTAACTGTTTAAAAGGTAATCTTTACTAAAATTTTCTACACGCAATATATTGTGGGGGCGGGGGCACATGGGTGTGTGTAGCCTAGGCTATCCTTGAACTTTCTACCTTCCTACCGTAGCTTCCCAAGCAGTAAGACTACAGGCATGGACCACTATACTTGACTCTGTGCTACACAGCTTTAAATTCTTTCTGTCAATTGGTGTGGTGGCACACACCTGTGATCCTGGAACTTGGGAGGTAGAAGCTCGAGGACCGGGAGTCAAAGTCGGCTGAATAATGAGTTTGAGGCCAGCCAAAGCTATGTGAAATGAGATGGCTTCAAAAACAAAACAAAACAATTGAAAATGTGTTCTAAATTGGTGAAGCCATTTAATCAGTGTGATAATGCCATTCCATAAATTTCTAGTGCAGGAAGTGAGAGGCACCGAAAAGTAAAATGCCCATATTGTGCAATGGTAACACTAGAGGATGTAACCATCCTGGTTTAGGTTAAGTAAACAAGAAAGTCTAATGCGGCAGTAATGGCATTAGGTAGAAATCGAGGTCAGGAAAACTGCCTTAAGGAAAGTGGAGTCATTTGAGCAAATGTCCAGAAGGAGCCAGTGGGGGGGGGGAGGGGGGAATCTCGGGGAAGAAAGTTCTAGGCAGAGAGGATGGCAGAAGGCCCCAAGGTAGGAGTAAACACAGTAAACCAAACTTTGGAGAAAAGCAGGAAGAGAAAAGGAGGCTGGCAAGGTAAGTGTTGGGCTAGAAACCTATGTGGGCAGTGCACCTCGCTGAAAGGTGCCGGAGGGGATGCCCGAGTCCTCCTGCTCCAGGAAGAGGTCACTTCCTGGAGGCTCAGGGCTGGATTGCCGAACTGAAGCTGGAACACGCCCAAGGCTCTGGTTTCCCACTGGCCTGTTTTGGCCCCAGATAAACAAAGGCTCCTTCTCTCATCCCTGGCACCACTGGCCCACTTGCTACATTCTAGGCCATTGTAGCCACTGGCCCGAGGCCCTCCCACACCCTCTATCATTAGGTTCCTTCTGTTCTTTCAGCCCGCCCCTGCCTCACCCAGGCCTAGTACCTGTGTCTGCTGTGTTGGCCTGGTGGCTTCGACTGCTGTAAGTGACCAGTTGCAGCTGCCGGTTGAGTCTATCCAGGCCTGGGCTGGCAAGGGTGAGATTCGGCTGTCCCTCTCCAGTGAGAGTCACGCCTTCCACGTCCCCTGCCACATCCCAGGTGCCTAGGGAAGCAATCAGGTTCACCTGGCAGAGCGGGAGAGATAGCGGGGTTAGACCCCACTCCACCTCTTGCTCTTTCGATGCCCGCATCTCTCTGGGTGGATCTGTCCCCCTCCGTGCCCACCTGGCCTCTTTGCTGTTTCCTCTCACCTGATACACCTCCTGGGCAGCAGCTTCCTGCAGACTTAGCCCTGGGGGGAGGATGAGGAGTCAAGATCACACAGACAGGCCTGGGTTCTTTCTCATTTTTTCTCCTCTTCCCACCATGCACTGCTTCATGCCATCTCTCCTGCCGAGGCCTAGTACAAAATACCCTAGAGGGACTGCTTTATTTTTTTTAACTCCTTCCCGTCCAAGAGACATTTCTTCCATGGCTGGTCCTGCCTATCCCACAAGCCCTTGTTCAGCTATCAAAGAGGAGATTCCTCTCCACAAACTTCTCAGGTTTCCTGAAATTCCCGGCAACCCTAGAGTCCCTTCTGTCCACACCTCCTGCCTAAGCTCCCTTCTCAGGGATCTTCACCTTTCACCCCATGCCCCCCTCACTCTCCTTCATCCAGACTTCTAACCTGGCTCACCCCCGGACCTTCCTTCCTTACCTGGCACCAGGATGCTCCTGAGAGGCTGAACCTCCACGCCCTGCAGGGGATACTGTAAGGGGGAGTTGGCTGGGGCTATGAGTAGCTGGTCAGTCAGGGACTGGCTTCTGCGGTGGAGAGGGAGGGACAAAAGACAAAGAAAGATCTCTTCCCAAGGGGTCACTAACGACCACCGCTGCCCCCACCCTAGGGAAGGCTTCTCACTGGTACCTTGCAAGGAAGGCCTGGTATTCCAGCTCCCTGGCGACAGAAACAGTCTGCAGCTCCTCAGCGTTAAAGGCTTTAGTGAGGTCAATGACTCGAGCCTGTCTCTGGAACGGGAAGGCAAAGCTCCCTCCCCTGGGTTCACAACTGCAGTTATACGGAGTCAGCAGCCTGAAGCGAGGAGAAAGGGTCTTCAGAGTTCCACCGCCCAGCTCCACTGACCTCACAAAACCCATAGCAGCCCCACACTTGGATCCCTCAACTCTTCCCATCTGGTATCTTTCCCCCTTAAGCACTGCTCTTCAAATAGCCCCCAAGAGGGGACCACAGACCAGCCAGCTCATCCCGTGTATCCGGGCTTTATAGAGGTGTGGAGTAGGGCCAGTTCCTGGGATGTCTACCTAGCCGCCACTCAGGAACCCTTCCGTAATCTCAAGTCTAAATCAAGAAGCCGGCTGTCGCTGGGTGCTCCGCTGCCTGCACTCCTCCTCCCACACCCCAGTGGCGGTGACAAGGTTCAGGAGAGATTTGCCGTCTTGCCCCCCTCCCCCCTAGTTTAAGCCTCGGTCACCCTCTCCACCTCCCGCTTACTGCACCCACCAGTCAGTGCAAAGCAGCAGGACCCTGGGCCCAGCACTGGGGGAAACAAAAGCTCCAGGCACCCTCCCCCCCTCACCCCGGCATGCTGTGCTCTGTCGCCACCTCGCCCGGGTCAGCACTCACCCCACTACTTGCTCCTTGAACCTGACCGGGATGTGTGCATAGCGGGGCTCAGGGGCAAGATCTAGCAGATCGAGCTTCGGGGGACCTTGTGGGGGCGACCACAACGCCAGAGGGTTCGGAAGCCTGGGCGCGTCTCGGGTGCTGGCGTACAGGAGCCCCAGCGAGGCGCAGGCGAGCAGCAGAACTAGCGCATAGAGAGCCCGGCGGCTTAGCCGCATCCTAAAGTGGGGGAAGATGAGAGGTGACCAGCGGCAAGGGGAAGGTGAGGGCTGGGACTCTTGATTTCTCTGCCTTGGAAGGCCACGCAGGTTTCCGAGGCCACCCATCTCCGGTCCGCACGGCGCACATCCCTTCCTTCATGCCCCACGCTGGGGTATCCTGGCCTCCTCTCTTCCCGCTTTTCTGTCACATCTGAGTTTCCGCATAGACCCGAGGCCCCAGCATCGGGACCTGCCACACCTTGGGCACATGGCCCTCAGGGGGCCCCCACCCCCACCCCATCGCCACCCCCACGAGCATCAACCGGGCTGGGGTCCTGCGGAGGGGCGGGTCTACACCTGGCCTGTCAGGGGAAGCACGGCAGCGCGCTCGCGCCCGCGGGTACTCGGCCGCGGTGACCCTCGGGTGGCCTCGGTGCGCCACGGGGACGCCGCCGCTCCTGCCCACAGCTTGCCCGCTGACGAACGTGCCAGCGCACTGACCTGGCTAACGCTCTAAGGCCGCGGCCAGATCGCGGTCCGGGCGGTGCCCGGCTCTCCGCCCCGGCCGGGGGGTCCTCATGAGGCCGGGGAAGGCCTGATGCGGGAGCTGGGCGGGATCCGACAGTGTGGGGGATCCGACTCCTCCCGCCTGCGGACTCCGGGGCTTTGTAGACCGCGGCGTGGGGGAAGTTCGGGACGTTTCCTGCCTGGGAGAACGGAATCGTAGATCCGCCGCGCCCCAGCCCCAGCAACAAAGCCGAGGAGCCCTGGCACCGAGTCGTCCTCGCAGGCAGCAGAGGGCTCAGGCACCCGCCCGGCTCGCACACCGCAGCGCCGCTCCCGGGGTGGATGCGGCAGAGGCTCCGGCTGTGCGCGGGGAAGGCGAGCGCCGCGGCGCCTTCTGGCGGGCGCAGAGGAGATTGTCCCGGCGAGGAGCCCTCGCAGGAAGGTCCCTTTCTCTGCCCCGCATCCCTTCGCCCCCGAGCCGTTAACGGTCCCCGCCATTTCCCTCCTCGCTCAGTTTGTAGCCTGGGGGAGATGATTGGGTGCCATAGGCAGTGGGCGGACAGTGTGTGGTCTAACCTCAAGGCAAGGAAAACTTGAGTAGGAAGGATGGGATTAAGGAAAATTAAGGAAACCAGCCAGCCAAGGAGATAGACACTGCCTAAATTAACAAAGACGGTCACCTCCCTCCTCCCAACACCCAGCAATCAACTGAGGTGAGAACCGTTACAGAAAGGCCTACTTCCCCTAACTTCTTCTCGTACCCATGTAAGAAAATGGTGAAGCGGCAAGTGGTTCTTTCAAACATAGGCCATAGGTGGCTTGACTCCTGACACTGACCAGAATTAAAGTCCTATGCTTCTCAGAAGGATCCAAATTTAACAGAAAAACAGGTAGAGCACCATGGAAAGTGAGTGTGGAGGAGATGATTGGGACCACGGGACAAACTGTGTGCGTCTGCTGGGGAAAAAAGGGGAATCCCATCCTGAAACCAAAATTTTCAGACCAAATACTAAAAGTAAAACTACGAAACCTTTAAAATATATCAAGCACTTTTTTTGTTAACAGTTGGAAGACCTCCGTCAGCAAGAGGTAAAGGGAAATATTTAAAAATATGCCCATATAAAAATACTTGATAGTCGTCAGGGGTGAGAACCAAAATTAGGTTTGAATAAGAGATCCATAAAACAAAAATGCACCTAACCTGTAAGCCCCTTGCCCAACAAATACTTCCCAAGATGCTGGAGGCTGTTGTTCGTGTAAGATAACAAGTTACCTGTTTTCACTTCCCTAAAGAAGCTTGGTTCACACTCAATTGCACGGGAAGTGCTTGAGCTACACTTAGGTGGGCAGTACATAGGCAGGAAGTACATCGGGAGGTAAGCTTGCCTCTCATTAGTCAACGGTGGGAAATTTGGAGCCTTGGCCGTCTGGCCAATGTAGGCCATTTTCTGGGAGCCCTGGAATGGACCAAGGCCGGGTCCATCATCCTGGTCAGTATTTAATTAAAGCTTGCTTTAAATTTGGTTCAAAAATTGTGGTGGTGGTCTTATTCTAACCAGTGGGATTAGTATTTTCTGGAGCCCTCCCACCCACCCAAATTCTAAAGCCAGACCTTCGCTCCAGAACTCCCAGCCTGTGGGGAGGGCACTCGGGAGACACAATACCTTCAGGCTTTTCGAGATTCCAAGGCTGCCTTCAGTTTTCTGGAATATCAGTGAACCGTGTGCTGAGAAAAGCAGCGTCTACTCCGGAGGCCTCCTGAGATCTGCTGAATGTGGCATTGGAAATATTTAATGGAAAAAGGTTGCTATGGCAGATGAGACCACAGCTTCTAGCAGTGACCCCAGGGTCCCCAAAGACACGATGGTACATGATGACTTCACCTGGACTGGGTGATGCTAACCACTGAGAAAAGCTGCCCCATGCCCCACCTGCCGCCAAGGCCCTGCCCAGACTGTGGGCACTGTTGTATTGACCGTTGTGCCCTCTGCCTGGTCAGTCCCCCTAAGTTCCTCACCGGAAAGTCTCTCAGAACTTGGCCATTTTCTGGGAGCCCTGGAATGGACCTAGCCTGATCCATCATCCTGGCCAGTATTTAATTAAAGCTTGCTTTAAATTTGGTTCAAAAATTGTGGTGGTCTTATTCTAACCAGTGGGACTAACACAGGTTTGGTGGCACATGCCCGTAATCCTAACACTGTGGAGGCCGAAGCTGGAGGACTGGGGGGTTTTTTTTGGTCTGGATTACTTTACTGAGAATTTTTTTCAGTGGGGGCTGGGGAAATGACGCAGTAGTTAAGAGCCTTTCTTCCCCATCCAGAGGACCCAAGTTTGATTCCCAGCACTCATGTTGGGTGGCTCACAATTTTCTGTGAGCTCCAACACCAGGGGATTGGGTGCCCTGTTCTGGTGGTCTCAGGCACACAGACACATGTGGCATACGTTCACGGAGGAGATACACACTCATGGAGATACAAAGGCTGAGGATTAAGTTCAGCAATAGGATGCTTGTTCTGAGATTTTTCATATATTGCTCTCCCTACATGTGAAAATCTCATATAAAACACACATATTTTTCATAATATACATGCACAAGTGTTTGTTAGGATGTGGTGGTTTGGACGAGGAATGCCTTCCATCAGCTCAGGTATTGAACTCTTGGTCTCCAGTTGATGACCCTGTTTGGGAAGGTGGTGCAGCCTCGCAGGAGGATGCTCTCATTGGGTGAGGGCTTTTGAGAGTTCCTAGTCTCGCCACACCTGCAGTTCACTCTCTCTGCTTCATTTTTGTCAACTGAGGTGTGGTCTCTCATTTTCCTACTCCTGTTGCTGGGCCTCCCACCACAATGGACTTATATTTCCCAGAAACCACAAGCACAAATACACCCTTTCTTAAGTCATCTTTAGTAATGGATCTTACCATGGCAACAGAAAAGTAACAAATCCACAGGCTAGCCCAGGTTCAAGGAGTCATTAAATATCACCTTTGGGGCCGGTGAGATAGTTCAGCCAGTAAAAGTGCTTGCTACTCAGGTTTGATCTCCGTGTCAACACAGACTCACTCATGATAAAAATAAACTTCTTGATCAGAGTGACAAATTCTAAACTTTCATGATCACTAGTCACCAAAATCTTTTCTTTAAAACTTACCTTGTACTCAGTAAATATTATATATTTATATTTAGTAATTAAATATATATTGGAAAACACTTTAGCAATAATCAAATGACATGCTTCCTTGCTTTCTGGCAGGATCATATACAACTTAATAAAGTCTTACGTTTACTGTAACAAAAATTAGGATTCAACTAATAAAAGATGCCCTGGGATGATGTGAGCTTCTTGGGAGGCTGAAGCAAGAGGATCAGAAGTTTGAGGTTAGCTTGGGCTGCACAATGAGTCTAAGGCACACAACCATCCATAATGCCAGTTCTAGGGGTGCTGACCTCTCTTCTGGTCTCCATGGGCACCAGGCAAACAAATGGTGAGCAAACATACACACAGGCAAAACATTCCTACACCAAAGTCAAGTAAAATAAAACCTCTCAGGCTAGTGAGACGGCGTGGTAAATAAAGACACTTCCATCCAGCCTGAGTTCCATCCAGGGAACTCGGAAGGGCCGCAGACATTCTCAGCTTGTCCTCTGACCTCCACACTGGTGTGTGGCACCTTCACCGGTGTGCACACATGAAAGCACACACTAGTGTAAAAACAATTAAGTTCCCTTTAGAAAGCCTGTTTACGAGAATTTATCACCTACAGAAGGAAGTCTGATAGTTATTAAAAAAAAAAAAAAAGCACCAGTTTTTTTTTGTTTGTTTGTTTGTTTTTCGAGACAGGGTTTCTCTGTGGCTTTGGAGCCTGTCCTGGAACTAGCTCTTGTAGACCAGGTTGGTCTTGAACTCACAGAGATCCACCTGCCTCTGAAGCGCCAGTCTTTATAATCTTGTGTCCAGCCTGTGTTTACATTTCTTAGTTCAAATAACCCCTCATCTCTGTGACTAAATCTTCAACTCCAGAGACTCTTGCTCGATTCAGTTCTTTAGAAAGGAAGGGTGTGCATATCACTGACTTTACCAGTACAAGCAGCAACATTTTTTGTCGAGACAGGGTTTCTCTGTAGCTTTGGAGCCTGTCCTGGAACTCTCTCTGTAGACCAGGCTGTCCCCAAACTCACAGAGATCCGCCTGTCTCTGCCTCCCGGGTGCCAGGGTTAAAGGCGTGCACCAGCACTGCCCAGTGCAGCAATATTCTTAAATATCTTTCCAGGAATAATGAACACTACAGATCTTCCTCTTGCTTTATCTTACTTGATAAAAACTTTGTATCTTCTCTAATATAAATCACCTTGGTTTTTTGTTTTGTTTTTGTTTGTTTGCTTGCTTGCCTGCTTTTTTTGAGACAGAGTTTCTCTGTGTAATAGTCCTAGCTGTCCTGGAACTAGCTCTTGTAGACCAGGCTGACCTTGAATTCAGAGTTCTGCCTGCCTCTGCCTCCCAAGTGCTGGGGTTAAAGACTGTGTCACCACTGCCCGACAATCTCCTCATTTTTTTTTAAAAAATAATTCTGCCAGGATTGGTGGTTCACGAGGTCAGCCTGATCTACAGAATGAGTTAAAGGACAGTCAGGGATACACACGGAGGAAAAAAAGTATTCATTTTATTTGATGTGTGTAAATGATTTGCCTACATGTGTGGCTGTGCACCTATGCAGCTTGGTATCTGAGGACAGATAAGGGCACTGGATTTCCTGGGACTGGAGTTGTAGACAGTTATGAATGGCAATGAGGGTGCTGGGAATCGAACTCGGGTCCTCTGGGAGACAGCCAGAGATCCTAACCATTGGGCCATCTTTCCAGCACTCTCAAGAGTATTTTAAGCTTCTAGTTGGCCAGGCAGTTT